GAATTGAAGTTGTCCCACATTGGAAGAATACAAGGATCTCCATGTGCTAGAAGTTGTCCCACATCGGAAAAGTACAAGGAGAAGGTGTGTTCCAACTACTATAAAAGGAGCTCATAGGCTTGGGTTTAAATCATTCTAATTGAAATATTTTAAGCATGGTATACCAGCTCTAGTTAACTGAGCGGTATATGCTTCGAAAGAGTGTTTTGTGTAATTGGGTCGATGAGAGAAATCTGTGTGATTGTAATAATTTTTCACATAGTGGATTTTTCCTTGTGGGCCATGGTTTTTTCTCCAATTTAGAGTTTTTCCACGTTAATTCTTGTGTTTCTTTATTTTATTGCTTTCTTTAAATTTCTCAGTTATTTTCTGCTTATTCTTGCGTAGAAGTAGGGGATTTTTTTCCCATTAAGATGTAATGGGTTTACCAAGAAATCAAGGAGAGGATTGAAAAGAACAACTTGAGGATAGCTTCAAAGGTCAACAAAAACCGCAAGCGAATAATCTTCAAGAAGGGAGATTGGTGTGGCTTCATCTGAGGAAAGAAAGATTTCCCAATAAGAGAATCTACAAGCTAAATCCAAAGGGAGATAGACCATACCAAGTGCTTGAGAGAATAAATGATAATGCATACAATCTAGACCTCTAAGGTAAGTATGGAGTTGATTCTACATTCAATGTGGTTGACCTTAGAGCTTTTGATGTAGGTAATGACTTGGATTCGAGGACGAATCATCTTCAAGGGGGAGGGGATGACGTGCATAAAGGAGACCAAACACTATCCAGAGGACCGATCACAAGGTTGCAAGCCAAAAAGTTGCAAAACTCCATCAAAAAGCAAGTTTAAAACTTACTTCTTACGACCAAGCTAGAGTGCAACAAAGAGGAAGGAGATCTCCATTCTAACATTTGGAATGTAAAGCTTAAGGAGGAAGAAGACCATATTAAGAAAGAAGCTACAAACCAAATTCGAATACCCAAAGTCGAAGACTCCATTTTATATATTATTTAAGGCTTATTTAGAGTTTAAACCTTAAATTTGTGTTTCTTTATATTTCTTGTCTTACCCTTTCTTTGGACCCAATTTGTAACTTTTATAATTGCCTTGAGGCCCGAATGCAAGGTTTTGTAGCATAGTTATGTTCCTTTATTAGTTTAATCTAGGTTTAGATAAAAGTCTTTTCCTTTTACTTTTATGAAATTTCAAGATGCCCATATATAGGCTTCTTCTTGTACATTTAAAAGGTTGGATTATTGATGAATGAAAGTAGCCATTGAGCTTTCCTCTTTGCTCCCAAAACAATGAGCATCGGTGCTTCTTGATCTAGTTCCACAAACCCTTGAAACATTCAAGTTTAGGTTGGTCATAAAACTTGTGGAGTGTTTCACTTTGGATCTAGAACAAGTTCTCTCTATCCAAAGCCTTAACCTTCAAGGTAAGTCGCATCTTCTTCCTCTTGGGTGATTCTTTGTGTGTGTACTAGGTGTTGCCGTGTGTTTAGGAGGTGCTTGTTCTTATAAGGGTTACCTAAGCTACTTGTGGTAGGGTTGAGTACATCATAAGGGGTCGCTTTCCTTTTATGCTTCCYTACGTGGAAAATGAATCAAACATGTTCTCCATTTTCCAGCCGCCTGCTGGTATTCTAAAAAAATGATTATTGTTTATGCTCAATTTGCCTATGTTTTATTTTCTATCAGAGAGAAAGCCAGCATTAAGGAGTAGCAACTATTGCATCAGCTAGAGGTGCACTAGGCATTGGAAAGGTGCTTAATTTCGAGCTGCCCTGCAGACCCGTTTCGGTGCCATAGTTTCGGGCGCATTAGGCACTGAATAATATAAAGTTATGTTATGTGAGTTATTGTCGGTCCAAAGGAAGGTTTTCACTCAACAGGATTGGTTATTAAATTTGATCACCACATTGAGAGTACCACTTGTAAGTTGATATTGTCGGTCCAAGGTTATCAATGTTGTGCTAGGTATCTTGTTGTCCTAATTGAGTTTAAATATAAAGTATTTTTATAAATACTTAAGGTTAATTGCGAGCATGTTTTATTATTGAATGAGTTATTGTTAAATATTATTTAATTGCCTTATTGTATATATAAGAATAATTTCCATTCAAGTTGCATGAATGTTTAACTTGTGATAAAGAAAGGAAACAGTTCAACTTTTGTAAATCAATATCCTTCTAAGGTTTTAATTGGGATCTTGAAAAGTAGGACTAACCTTAATTACATAAGTTCTATGTATTTCAAAAAAAAAAAAAAACGTAAGTTTTATGATACTGTCTTGCAACATTCAAGGGAATTATGTTTAATGAGAAAATAATTAGGAAAATTTTTTAAGTTATAAGGATTGCTTTGAAAATTACACAAGGAATAGACATTTAATTTTTCCCGATCACTTTATGTTAATAAAAAATAAAGGAACACTAGAGAGTACACTAAATTATTAGATGCAGTAAATTTAAAATATTCAAGGGTTTACTGGTGTATTTGATACTTATTCGAGACATTATAACTGCATCAAGGTAGCCATTTAAAAGAAAAATAATTGCATCAACCGAATCAATTAACTAATGGTTTAATCAGTTTATTTTGGTGGTTAATCGCCTAATAGATAACTAATGTGTAGTAGGTTCGCGGGTTGGATTCGTTCTAGTTTCAAAGCCATGAAGACGAACAACAAACTAAAAGATAAAAGGTGATTGGTGAAGGCGAATGCAAAGGCCAAACTAGAGGGCGAAGACTAAGAAAACAAAGATGAAGAGCGAACGTAAGTGTTATGCGAAAGCGATTAGCGATGACAAAGACTCATGGGATAATAGGAGTAAGTAACGACGGAAGGTAAGGAAGTTGGAACAACTATCGAATAGAAAGATAAATCATAATCAGAAATGGAATCCAATTGACATCGGCAGCCGCAAATGGGAATCGTGAAACGTGAATACTGAATTAAGTAAATAAAAAAAGAAAAAAAAGACATACATGTCGGTCGGTTTTGAGTTGGTCAATTGACCGGTCGACATACTGGGAAAATCCTAAATCAACCACTGACCGATCGATAGCTAAAATCGACCACCTGACGTTGGTTCAGTTGGTTTCGGTCGGTCAGGTCAGTTTTAGCGACTATGATTTACACCCCTATAAATGGATGCATACATCTCAAGAGGAAGGTACGCTACCACACCCTACTTTTTGCTATTTCATAGAAATCCGATTCTAACTTAAGATCTAAGTGTGTGTGGCTAGCACCACACTGATACGTAATCTTTCTATTTTGCAAGTTCATCGAGTCCCTTTTTATTCTAGAAGAGTGATGCGAATTTGGTAATTATGTTGGCCAAATTTATGCACCAACAAATTCCACTTTTTATTTATTTATCATACTTCTACTTTTAATTTATTTAAAAATGAATCAAAATGACATTTAAAATACTGAAAGAATAATAAAATCTATTATATTATATCTTTTTATATCATGATCTCTTTCACTTTAAGGGAATGAGAATAAGGAACGTGAACAAAATTTTTTATTCTTTTGATGATGTTTACTAGATTGTAGAAATATTTTTAATTGATGGGACTCGGGGAATCACTTCCTCGACAAATACAATCTCATTCTTCTCTTACAACCAAATAAGTAGGTTCTCATTTCTTATATATTTCGTTGTATACACACTTTTCAATAATTACTTTACTATTTTTATTACTGATGTTGTTCTAATTAAAATTATATTAATAATTTTTAGTTGCTCTAATTTTATTTTAACTGTTTATTATTTGTTAATATTAAATAAGTTATTATAATACAAAATAATTACTATCAACAAAATAGTATAATAAAATAAATCAAAATGTATTATTATTTGAATTTAAAATAATATTAGCAAAATTTTTAGTCAATATATTTGTATTTAGCTAGATTTAAGAAAAATGCATATCAGGAATTTTAATATATATGATTTATATTCCAATTCTATACAGTTTTAATAAACATAAATGAGTTTTTGATTTCGACTCTACATTATAAATAACATAGTAGTAACATTCTCCTTTCGATTGAGTTTTATTTTGACGTTTCGAACCATTGTAAGTAAACATTGACATAAATGTTGTATAAAACACAACTTTTATAAATGAGAATAAAAAATTAAAATCAATTGGCAGGGTTCACCTCAATTTGGAAACATTACTCCAATCTAATTAATTCCATTCCCATTTATTATTCCATCCACCCCACACATTTTCAATAGTTACTCTACAACTTTTACAATCTTTCTCCCTCATTTATTAATGAAATTCATAACTATCGTTTTAAAATCATACTATTTATTTGTTTATTTATACTACTAATAATTTTTTATTTCTTTTAAAATTATACAATTCTGTTGGTTGATATAATTGTATTATAAAATATTACAAAGGAGTTGTTATAAAAAGTATATTAATTGTTTATTATTTGTGAATATTAAATAAATTGTTATAAAAAGATTTCATACTAACAAATAGTAATGAAATAAAATATATTATTTATTTTAGTTAAATATAATATTAGCAGATATACGTGATTATCCAGAAATGAGAGATATAGAAAATGATAATATTTGATTTCGATTGATTTTCATTTTTTTTTCTCTTTTAAAATCAGAGCGATTTTCGTTGGATTATAGTAGATCAAATCGTATATTTAATCATATTTAAAAAATTGGCAAATATAGAGTATATTTAAACCCATTGTATAGTGCGCGTAAGACCAAAGTCAGTACCCTTTTACCCTCTCAAGTGGCCCCACATAACAATACAGGAATCACCTTGATTAAAATCCGCTGCGGAACTCGGACCGTTGAGATCTCCACAGATTCCATATCCTACACGTGGCACTTTCCTATTGGGTAGCGGGCCAAATTGCCATGCATTTACCCGTGTGCTAATATTTTTCTCCACATTCCGCAAACTTTCGTCTATAAATAGCGTAAAGTGACGACGTCTTTGGACTCCCTCTGTTATTTTTCCATCCCCTTCCTTCTCCTTCCCTCCGCAATCGAGGAGCGGCTCTCGTCGCCGAATCGAAGGATTTTTCTTCCCTCCATGGCTATTTCTCAAGCAAGTCTCCTCCTTCAAAAGCAACTTAAAGGTTCAATTCCTTCTATTCTTTATCCGATTTCTGTGAATCCGTAGGGTTTATTTGGATTGGATGTTCCTCTGAACTGCCTCTTTTCTTTCATGCCTTTCAGATCTCTGCAAGAACCCCGTTGATGGGTTCTCCGCCGGTCTGGTCGATGAGAGCAATATATTTGAGTGGAGTGTCACGATTATCGGACCCCCTGATACGCTTTAGTATGTGTATACTGCTTCAATTTTCGTTTTTTTTTTTGGTTTTGGACACCGCGCGTGGTCAATTTTTAGGGTTTATACTATTGTTGTGACCTAGTAATATAATAGTTTTTGCTGAATTCGATAAAGCTCTTTGATTGCGATATGAGGGTCTTAGTCGTCCTTCATTGCCCCCAAATTTACGAATGTTTTGTTATTTTAGTTGATTTGAAGTTAGGTTGGTTATTCTTGTATTGGTTAATATTTGTATGTGTATCTAACGAAAACATTCGGTATAACAATCTCACTGCAGCGAGGGAGGTTTCTTTAATGCCATTATGAGTTTTCCATCAAATTATCCAAATAGTCCTCCGTCCGTGAAGTTTACTTCTGAGATTTGGCATCCTAATGGTCTGTTTATCTTATTATTTTATTTGATACCCCCTTTGTTCTCATTCAAGTATTTTGAGATTTGAGGTGTTTCTTATATTGTAGTTTATCCTGATGGGCGTGTATGTATTTCAATCCTTCATCCTCCTGGTGATGATCCTAATGGCTATGAGCTTGCTAGTGAGCGTTGGACCCCTGTTCATACGGTATCTATTATTTTTTCTTTATATAAAAGTTTCCCTTTTCTGCTTTAATTGTTAAAATTATTTTGTCATTTTCATTTTGTTGGTGAATTTGATTTATTGAATTAATTTGTTAAGCTATTTATGTCTATTTTCCTCTATTTGTTTGTATTTGAGTGAGAGTGCTTGGACCCAAATTTGGACAGAGTAGATGGTGACTGGTTAGGAAGGTTCATTAAACAATCTATTTAAATTAAAAAGTTGTTCTCCCTTCCCCCTTCCCACATTTTTGTGCCTTTTCTTTTGTCTTCAGCTGAAAACTGGGAGTCGGTACTCCATCAGCACTAATGGTTAATACAAATATTACAGAGTAATATCTATCTTTCACGGGATTCAAGTATAAGAATTTATTGTGTAATTATCAGATTGCTTTATCCTGTTAGAGATGTCCTGCATGCCTAACACCATTTTTTATGTTTAGACATCCTCTACATGGTTCAAAAACTTTACCAGTCGCATTATATCTGTCTCAGGACATAGACAAGATGAGAATGAGATGTGGTATAGTTATAAAAGCCTAAACATTGATGATTGGGACTGACTTAGAAGTTAGACGGTATTGGTCAATATCAGTTCTGATATTGACTTGCTTGGGTGGATCATCTGTGGCTTAAGATGACTCTACATGCTTTTCCAATTGATGTTTGTCTATATGCTCACTATGCTGCTTATCTCTCATTAATTATTGATTGTATCCACTTTTAGTGCTATACTTCCACCCATAATACATGCCAAATAACTTATGATGTATGCATTTCTTTATCATTAAGTATCTTGATTCAAATTTCAACTTCCAACAATTTTATGATGGAGCCTTAATATGAACATGTCTTTTAATACCTTGAATATTTAAAGGGTTACCAGTATTGCAACTTCAAAGCATGATATCCTAGCATCTTCATTTCCATTGGGTTTGAAATAGGTGTTAAATGTCAAATCATGAATTGAAGCTTGGATAATTATTATTTAAAAATACATCAACGTAGATGGTGCTTGGTGGCTTGGAATTATATCCAGAAAAATTGGTCTCTTTGCTTTTTTTTTTTTTTCTAATATATATATATATATATTGTAGCAAACCTTGTCTTTTCTATTCAAAGGTATAGCTGAAAATTGCAGCTTGCCTTGTGGAGAAAATTTCAAGTCTGCCAATAGTTTCCACCTTGCTCTCACCAACTGCTTCACCTTCTTTATGATCTTCCCTATCATTCGTAAATTTGATATTTTTTGTCATCATATCCTCAATTCTCCCTTTTGTGCTTGTCTACTCTCCCTTCCCTATAATATAAATGGCAAGCAAGGGGAAGCGAAGAAGGAAGGAGGATGAATTGCTCCTTTTGGTTTTCTTTTTCCTTTTTTGATAAGAAACCACTCTTTCATTAAGAAAAAATGAAAGAATGTACAAGGGCGTACAAGAAAGAACCAGCCCACCAAAAGGAAGCATGGGTTCCAATCCACAATAAGAACACCTAAGTTCCTAATAGATGATTACAAAACTCTTTTGTAATCAAGGCCCATTAGAGAAGTATTAAATCTTATAAGCTCTCAGGTAGCCTCCCAAGACCTCTCTAACCCTCTAAAAATTCTATTATTTCTCTCTAACCACATATCCCACAAAATGGCTAATTAACACGCCTGTCAAAGAATTTTGCTCTTATCCCCAAAGGGGATGCAGTGGAACCTCCTTCACCATTGCCTTGCAATATCTATTTCTTGCCTTGGAGACTCTAAGATTCCAAAAATTGCCCCCATAATAGCTAAGCAAACTCGCACCTCCTAAGGATATGGTCAAGATTCTTTTACGTCCATTTACATCAAGTACACAAACTGTAGCCCAAGCAAGAGGGAAAAGCATCACTGAATGCGGTCTACAGTATTAAATTTCTCATGTAAAATCTGCCAGACAAAGAACTAAACATTCTTTGGAATTTTAAGTTTGCAAAGTGAGGCAAAACGAGGAGCAAGATTTTCTAGAAAAAACATCTAATTGACTAGAATACCAAACTCACAAATCATTCCTCAGATAAAGGTGGATGTTAGTAATCAACAAGATCAAATTTGAAGCCTCCAAAGCTCATATGTTCGTAAAAAATTGGCTGAGACTCGAGGAAACTTGTCCAAGATTTGCCTTCCAGCGACGAAGGTGCCTTGATTTTCGGATGTGGTGCTAGGAAGGACCTTTCTAATCCGAATAGCCGAAGTTTTCAATATTATCTTGTATAAGCTCTGATTGCCCCCTCTTGGTTGTCTCAAATTAAAGCAACTGTATAAAAGAGTTAGGATTTTAAAGGTCTCTCTCTTTAATTTTCAGAATAGAAAGATTAAAACGTAAAAAGTTAGAATGTAAAAGGTTCCCCCTGTATGAAAGTTTTGGGCTCTATCTTTAACTACAGGTCTTTACTTTTGAGGCTAAATCACCTTGTTTTTGGCATTGGGTGTGTAACATGGTCATGATTAGTAGTGGAATTTTCACTCTAAGTTTAAGAGGTTCTGAAAAAGTCCCACTTTTCTCGAGAATCTTTTTTTGGATAATTCTTGTCCTTGAAATGAATTATTAATCACAATGTTATTATGGTATTGGATTTATTCTATTGAATTGCATGTTTCTGCCCATCTATGACAGTTTTACTCTTAAACAGAAACTTTAAATTTTGATGTTTTGTATAATAAAATGCTTGTTTTTCTTGTAATCTTGCTTCGAATTACTAACTATGCAGCATATCATTCTTATGCAGCTCCTGGGATATTTCTATCTCAGGCAGTGCCCTCCTCCCTAAAGTTATGAAGTAAATGGCTGTTAAATAACATAAATGATTAAAATTGATATTTGAGCTGAATAGATATTTTCGTTACATATCTGTAAAATATTTTGTGTTCTTGACTTGTGTAGTTAACCTCGATTGGTCTTAAAAGTATCTTTTAGAGGTGGACATCTCTTAATTGTGTCTTGTTCTTGCTTGATATGTTCATTAATCTTCACAGGGTTTTGTGTAAATATTAATTCATGGAGACTTCAATTGTTGTTGTTGTAGGTTGAAAGCATAGTTTTGAGTATTATATCAATGCTATCAAGCCCGAACGATGAATCACCTGCAAATGTTGAAGCTGCTGTAAGTGATTGCTCATACTTGTTTATCAACTTTGTCCTACTCCTATCTATGCTTTATAGAGGGCAATTATACGTTTGCATTGAGTTCCAATTCTTTACATGCAAATCCACTATCTCTTTATATTAGCTGAATGCTGAATTGAAAAAACGACAAGAAACATTGTCCACCTATACTCTTCTTTCTTTAGGAAGTCCATGTTATGATGCCCCACCCCTCCTATTCTAGGAAGAGACTTAAGTGTCCAATGACAACTTTAGAAAACTGCAAAGTTCTCTTTATTAGGCTTTCTAACTTAGATGCTTGAACCTATAACTTCGGTTTATTATTTCATACCAAGCCAAAGCCCTCAACCAAAAAGGGAACTAGTATGAAAATTTTGAAGTAAGGGGAATGGAAATAGTTGGAAGCATGAATAATGGTAGAGTTATATGAGTGGCAAGTGGAGGTGGACGGGGAGGGTAAATTAGCATGTGGGAAAATAATGTTATAGTAGGAAGCCTAAGGACTAAAGGGGTAATAGTTAGGGTTTGATTGAGCGTGATAGAGCTAAGGAAATGAAATATTTAGTTGTATTGAATGTGGAATGCGAGTGGATTAGATTGTGTAAGAATCGAAGGGGAGTGCTATGTGTCTCTCAAAATATTGTTGCACCCTAGTTCCTAATCGAATTGTGAGCATAGTTATATCAAATTGATATTATAGCACACAAAATGATGGAGAAAAGATTCAAAACTATTGAAGAGGAAACATCGTACATACTCCTTTTGGTAACCAATGATTGAGAAAGTGGCCACAAGACTCCAATATTGGAAGAATACTATATTTCCAAGGGAGGGAAACTCACCCTCATTCAAGTCAGTATTAAACCCTCCTCTAAGGGTCATTTGGTACCATTGACATTGGTTTTGGACTCGAATCAATGCTGACCATCGACAAGTCGATTTTTGTCTATTCGAGCATGCCAATTTTGGATGATTATGCAACTGACCAACTACATCAACGATCAGTCGGTTTTGGTTGAAATCGACGAGAAGAAGAGAGAAGAGAGGAGAGGAGAGCAAAAAGGGAGAAGAGATGGGGAGAGAAGAGCTTGAAAAATAAAGAGAGGGAAAAGATTCAATGGAGAACGTAGAAGAATTGAGGCAGAGAATAGAGAAGAATTGAGAGACAGAGAAGAGTCGCTGCCTCGCTGGTAGAGAACGAAAAAGAATCGAGAGAGGGGGAAGAGCCTCTCTTAGAGAACGGAAAAGAATGGGGAGAGGGAGAAGAGCCTCTGGTAGAGAATGGAAAAGAATGGAGAGGGAGAAGAGCGCTGGTAAAGAACAGAAAATGATGGAGAGAGGGAGGGAGAAGAGAGAAGAGTGATGCACGAACTTCAAAAAAATTAAAAGATTTTGTTTTTTATAATTTAATGCTGCAAAATTGAATCAAATTCAAATTTTGCCTTCGGGAAAACAAGTTGCAAAACGTGCCATTGGTTTTCTTAAGCTGTGTTTGTAGATTACAATTAGAGGTGTTCTTATATATTTTCATTTTGGCCGATCTTTGGTTCTTTTACTCAACCGACGGATTGAATTATTGGTTTTGGTGTTGGAAAGTCGACTTCCGATCAAACCAGTGGCCAGACCAGCCAATCGATGTCGGTTTGGTTGGTTTTTTGAAATGTTTTGCTCACCCGTACTTCTCTATATACTATTTGTCTTTATTTGCCATGCCTACAAAGGTAATCCTTTCCATTTTTTGTCGAGAGATTTGAACTCATGACCTCTTGGTTAGAGATAAGTGCTAATTACTGTTGAGCTAAGCTCATGTTGGCCTAGGTAATCCTATTCTTAAATTATTTAGGAACCTTAGGAGAGGGGAGGGTGACAGAATGGGTATTCATTTTGTTAAACATGAAAAATATCCTCCCCATAGACATGGTGAGGAGGTTCGAGTAGAACTATGACAATGGAAGGAGATTCCGAAGTGAGGGGTAATGACAATGGGAACGCCATCCGTCTACCTACAATTAGTGATCTCTTGGTTAAAGACAATGGGTCTAGGAATTTGGCCTCTGTTAAATAAAATAACCAATCAAATCAAATCCATGAGAAATCAAAGCAAATGAATTTGGAAGCTATCAAGCCTTGTTTCTTCTACCTATTATGTAAAGCCTTCCTTAAAGACTAATGGTGGGTTGAATACTCCTATATGAATATTTTATCTTTGAAAGTAAGAGGATTTGGCTCTTGGAAAAAATGGTTTCCCATCAAAAGCACATCATCAAGCAGAATCCCTCCATCGTTATGCTGCAAGAAACAAAGATGGCCGTTGAAAGGCTTTTTATCAGCTCCTTATGGAGCTTCAAGTACATTGAGTTCCTTATGGAGCTTCAAGTACATTGGTTGTGGGTCCTCTGTAGGAATCATTATCATGTGGAATGATCCATCTTTCATCGAATGTGCTTTTTCTTTAACACTCATCTTGCTAATGGATCCTCTATAATGGAGGAAAAACCTAATTTTTGAGAGGAGCTTATAGAGCTGTCCTTTGTTGACATCCCTCTTTCAAACGGATTATTTATGTGGTTTGATTTGAGGGATGTTCTCATCATCACCCTCACAGACAACTTTCCTTTCTAAATTTCATAATGCATTGGTTAAGCCTTTGGACAAGGCAACATCAGATCACTATCCCATTCAATTATCTTTTGGGATTGACAAGTGGGGTCACTCCCTTTTTGTCCTGAGAATATGTGGCTGCACCATCATAGTTTCTCCTCCATGGTTGAATATTGGTGGTTAAATATCCATTTGAGAGGGTGGCCACTACCAGGATGGTTTCATACCAAAACTAAAAGGGTTGAGACCCATCATCATTTTTGGAGCTTGTTTCCTTCGATAATTTGTTGTATTTTTCATTTCATCAATAAGATGTTAGCTTTTTGTTAAAATAAAAAGTTTGGAATATAGAGACCTTCAGCTGCATTAACATGAAAGAATCAGCTCATGGAGCTCTCTGTGTTGGACTATTTGGAGGAATTGGGCAATCTTCAAGATATTCCAAAGCTCCCAAAGAAGATCCATTAAATCTCAGCTTCTTTCTGTGGCAACCAAAGAAGAGTCTCTTTGGAGACAAAGATGCAAAAGGTTGCCTGAAGGGATGTAAACTCTAGTTTCTTTCATCAAATAGTGTCTCCAAAAGAAGGGAAAACACCATGTTGAGGTCCTTTTGCGAGATGGTAAGAGCAAGTTTTCTGTAATAGAAATTGAGGATGAATTCATTAATTTCTGTAAGATGTTGGGCTCCTAAAAGGAAGGTGGCAATTTCTTCCCCACCCCCAATTTGGGACCAATTACTGCACAAGATAATATTGAGTTAGAAAAGACCTTCACAGAAGTAGTTTGGTCAGCTGTTAAGAATTTAGGATCAAACAAATGCTAGGACTAGATGGTTTTGCAGAGTTTTATAAAAAAAATTTGGAACATCCTTAAGGTTGATATTATAAGGGTGTTCCAAGATTTTTTCAAGAATGATACTTCGAATGTTAGGCTTAATGAAACCTATATAGTTTCATCCTGGAGATTTGTGGTCCATTAGTCTCATTTTAGGGTTGTGCAAGATTATTGCTAGGGTGTTATTTGAGAGACTCAAAAAGGTCCTTCCTCGCACCATTACTGAATGTCAATCTGCATTTGTGGCAAGTCGGCAAATTCTCGATGCCCCCTTATAGAAAATGATCTGAAGACATGCGGAAAAGGGAAAATAAGAAGGGATAAAGTCTTTGGCAAAGTAGATTTGAATTATATCGATGAAATTATTGTGGCTAAAGGCTTTGGGAAAAGATGGAGAAAGTTGATTAGAGGTTGCATCTCAACAACAAATTTCTCCATAAGCCCAGAAGCAAGATTCTTGCTTCTAGATGCCTTTGAGAAGGTGACCCGTTTTTATTATGGTGGTTGATTGCTTGAGTAGACTTGGGACTCTATAAAAGGTTTTAACTCAAGGGAGAGGTCTATAGATATTCATTTTGTCTATGATACCATGCTTTTCTCCAGAAAGGACGAACAAGCTCTCTCAAAGTTATTTAACATTGATCCTCTTCGAGGAAGAATCAGACTTAATGAGAATCACCAAAAACTAGATTTTGGGTCTAAATATGGATCATGAGAAGTTAGATTTTCTAGCAAAGAAGCTAACCATGTACCTTGGACGTCCTCTTAGTGGGAAGCACCGCTCTTACTCTTTGGGGATCCTTTGATTGAGAATGTGGATACAAGGCTCCATTATTGGAAGAAATCCTTTATTTCAAAGGGGGAGAGACTCACCCTTGTACAAGCCATGCTATCAAATCTCTCAATGTTCCTTTATGCCCATGCCATCCAAGTTGATCCAAGCCTTATTGATAATTTTCAGACATTTCTTTGGAAAGGGAATCATGATAAATGAGGTATTCATCTTATTAAATGGGAAAATATCCTCCAACTCTTGGAGAATTGAGGGCTAGGTTTATGTGGCCTTAAGAGTGGAGATATCATTGTGAAAAATTAGCTCTTTGAAGAAAAATTTGCCTTAATATGGCTCTACCCCTTTGAACACTAGACTTTTTCTTTTAATTCTGCCAAGCAGTCGTGGAAAGGTATCTTAAGATTCTGAAATTTTATTTGTGATCGATTGACTTTCAAGGTCAAAGATGGGACAAATACTTCATTTTGGAATGAGGTTTGGTTGATGGAGAATTCATTGGCTAGATATTTTCCTCTTTTATATTATCTTTCCCTGCTAAAACAAGTGCCGTGGGTGAATGAATCTGAATTTTGGAACCTTAGGCTAAGAACAAACCTAAAGGTTGCTAAAGCCGAGTAATGGGCCATTCTTTTGCATCATCTTTATAACTTTCAACTCTATCTATAATGCCTTGGACCAGGGTTTTTAGAAGCTTGAAACAAATGGTACTTTTTTGCAAATTCTCTCTTACATGATCTCTCACAAGTTAGGGATGCTATTTGGAGAGACCACTACCCCAACAGGGTGAAAACTTTCCTTTGGGAGATCAGCCATAAAGCCTTAAACACACATGATGAACTTCAAAGAAGAATGCCTTAACCCTTATATGAACATCTCTCCCCACTGACTAAGGCCATCCTTTTAAAGGAAAAGAATCTTCTTGAATGAACTTTGTTTGGATGTTTTTTTGGAGTCCTTGGATAGAGAGGAATAAGATAATCTTTAAGGAAAAGAAACTCTCTTTTGATAGTTTCTTTTGAGTTATAGTCCTTTTGGTTATTACTAGGTGAAAAATGTTTTCTTTTCCATCACTAAAGCTTTTCTTCATATTTATCCAATTGGAGAGGTTTTCGTAACTCCCTTCCTTCATAATTTCATACCATCAATGTAATTGTTTCTCATAAAAAGTGAATGGAGGGTAAATGATGCCTGTAATTATTTTGATGCACGAAGTTGTAATTTGGAAATGCCACTATTCTTATTTGGGGGACCTTAATGGGTTGCCGCATAGGGTAGGAGGTACTCAACTATCAATAGGTTGGTAGAAGAGAAGCTACTATGTTTTATTTTGGATGGGGGAGAATATCGTGTTACACGGTCTAAGGGAGATGACAGATGGAGAATTGGGAAGAATTTTAAACGCCTCTCCCGTAGAGGTTTCAACTAACACAAGCATTGCGAAAAATTCCTTACCCTTTTAATAGAAAATCTTGGTGGAAAATCTTGGTTAATTTGACATGTTGGTTGCACTCCTTGCATAGTTGAGAGGATTGGAGACAAGAACTTGCCTTGTTGGCAAACCATGATCTGCCAAATTCAATCCAAATTAGAGTGTTGGACACAAGTGAAGCACTGCGAGGTCCATTAGTTTTAGCTTTAACCTAAAGCCTACCACTCATGACAAGCAGACATTAGGGTGAAGCAAAGATGAGAATTTGAGCTGATGGTTTACTGGGGGAGTGAATTGCTAGCTGTAGCTGTAAGGGTTGTGCTTTTGATGTGATGTATACATGGTGAATGAGATGCTGGTGCAAGCAAGAACTTCATGTGATGGTCCACGATTATGAGGATTAACTTTTAGGTGAAGAGGCTCCAATGGACAGTTTTAAAGAAAATTTTCTTCAGGACAATTGTGAACTGGGTAAGAGCTTTAAGGAGTGGGGCAGAGTGGTGCCTTTTAGTGGGAATAGATTTTCATAAGAGGATGAAAATCAAAGGGTAGATTGCACTGTGGTGATGAGGTGCATAATCATTTTCAATAACTTGGTGAAGGTTGAAATTATCCTCGAGTAATTCACTAGATTGAGGAAAGGAATGTAGAAACGAAGACTAGAGTCGCAATGAAAGGAATGGGTATATATCACAAATGGGGTCTGTGCTATCCTCGCTATTGTAGAGGATAATCTTCCATTGCCCTTAGGGAGTTTTAATGTCCTTTTGGTAGCTCATTGGTTGTCCAAGATATAGGATCTGAAAGTGTGGACTGAAAACAACTTATGGAATTCAAGGTGAGAGATTGGTTGATGGTTTTTTAGGGATCAACCATTTTTCCATTTTAGTTCTGGCTGTAGGGGAAGGAAGGGCTGTGGCCAACTTAAAACTAGTGTTTTTAAGGCGCACCCCAGCCCTTATCTATTGTGAGAGGTGAGGTGTCTCCTAACCGTTCCAATGCCACTCAAGGCGTGCAGCTTCAATAAGGTGTTTGCTACGTGTGCACCTTCTTATCACCATACTATTCATACATGGTGACCAAACTGCTCACTTGTGCGTTATGTTATGTTTTTTATCCCAACAGTTTCTTTCATTGTCCTTTGATATTTTTTTCCCAACAATTTCGTTCTTTCTTCAATCTTCGCAGCTTATTCCTTGAGGTAATTTTCAACAAAACCCATATGCAAATAGCCCTGGCCCTTGACTTTCTATCCTCCACTGCAAGACTTAGATGTGACAGGTTCATGTTTTTTCCTACTTTCATTCACTTAGAAGAACTAACTCAACATTAACATTGGATCTTCGGGAGTTATTTTTGCGGTGGTTTATACCCATTAAATTTGTAGAAAATAATTAATGTATAAATATAATCAGTAGAAAATAATAAATGGAAAGTATCATCCCGTCAAAATGTGAATAGACTACCATCTACGTTCAATAATTAAATTTGTATTGTAACTATAGATACATGTATAAATAATTTAATATACAATTGTTATTGTAAGAGTAAAGAGAATATTTTATACTACATGTTATCAATTCCCAGACTGCGGAGGTGTGAAATAGTGATATGGTATTTCACATTTGAGCTCCAACTATCAAACACCATATCATTAATTTAAAAGAGGATGATCAGGGATCTTCGAATTTTGGTATTGCTATGGTGGTTACATGTATGTATTCCATTCTAAATTTCTGACAGTGTCGGGTTGAGCCCACTTGAGCTCATTTTTATGGGTCGTTTTGAATCTTCTTCCTTCGTTTGTAGCAATGTAATATTTAAACGTTTGTGTCAAGTTGTGGTTCTTATTGTCTCACGTCATGTTTGGACTGATTAAATGTGAACTTTAATCTGCATATTAAGCAGGAGTCGCCACTCGCCATACTTGTATGGCCTTTTATTAAGTAGAACATTTAAAGGGATGAACCAAACCTCTGAGGTTTGGTCGTTTGAGATTCTATATTTATTTTTGGGTGTCGGTGCTTTAGGGCTCTTGTAATTAACCCTTGGGGTTGATTGTGCTTGATTGGAGTCCCTTCGTCGTGAGTTTTTGTTTGTTTTTTGTATGGCCCATTTATTCTTTCAATATTTCACATGGTAGGACTAGGAATTGGCATATTTGTCTAATAGTAGTGGATTGGTTGATTATTTGGAAGAAAAAGGAACATTTGGGTTGTATAAGATTTTCGAGTTAAAACTTGTGGCGTGTTGGTGCAGAAGGAATGGAGGGATAGGAGGGAAGATTTCAAGAAAAAGGTAAGCCGCTGCGTGAGGAAATCACAGGAAATGTTATGAGGCAGCCGCTGCAGGCCAGTGCTTGCTTTTTGTGGCAGTGGGTGTTTAAATTTTTACCTTTACTAAGGGACTTACTTCACATGTTCACATGGTGCCAGTGGGTCTTGTAAGAACGTCAATGGAGCTCTGTCACCCATATATTTTATTCTGTCGTTTTTTTTTTCTTTTCTTTTTTCTTTTTCCTTTCTTTTCTTGGTTATAATTTTTTCTTTTTTTGTTCTCTCATTTTAAAAGTAACTCAGTAGGATTATTTGTATAACAAAGCATTTTGTTTAATGCTTTTCGTTTGTTAAAAGAAAAAAAAAGGGGAACATTGTCTGTTTGGTGACCGAATCAGCTTTTCGATATCGATGGCACCCTATACTAAGCCTCCCTTGAGAAGATAAAAAGTCCTCTTGCGGGCAAAGTTTCCGAGTCACTGGTAAGATTTTGTCGTTTATTCTGTTGGCTTGGGTGGTTGGTTATGGTTGAAGATTGATTTCCAAATGTAATAATAATGAAAAATCCTAGTGTGAGTAGACACGTCATTGTTTCAACTTTTAATTATTTTAGTCAGGGCCTGGGGATGGAATTTGAATTTTCTAATGATTTCTTTTAACATTTTATACTTTCTATTGGCGTCGTGTTTTGGCATTCTGATTAAATGTACGGTAGCCTAGCCTATATTAATGCCTGAAGAATCGAGGAAACATTCAGGTGGTTTATCTTTCAAACTTATTATATTTTATAAAAACATTATAATGCATGTTAAATTACAAGTTTGGCTCTCTTTAGTGTGTAACATATCCCTCTATATTTTAAAAAGGCGTTTAATAGACATGAAATGTTAAGTTATATTGTATCTTGTAAGTTCTTGAATTTGTGAAGTTTATGATAGTTTGATAAACTTTTAATATAAAATACATATTTATTGTTTGATTGAAACCATAAGAAATTCTTTAAAATTCATTAAAATACAGGGATAGGGATATCAGTATACACTATTAAAAGTTTAGGGACTTGAATTTTTTGAAGTAGAGGTGGTGGACTATGTTTGTAATTAATTTATTAATGTTAAGCATAATTAACATTAAGTTTAGAACTTTTGAAGAATATGTTTTCTTGTTTCAGTATGATGGTTATTTTCCTTGTGGAGATCGGGTAATTGCAAGTCTTGGGGTTTTTTTCTACTTGTTTTGTGAGAAATGAGAACTACAAGTTGTTTTAAGGCTAGTTCAATTGAACTGAGGGATATTCCTTGTGGTCGTTGTTGAATGTCCATGGGTCCCCTCAATAAAGACTGGAATTGCATACTTTGTATGGTTGTCCTCCCAATGAGGATGCAGTTGGTTGTTTGGAACGGTTTGCCCCATCGGCTTGGCCTCATTCTTATCGCTAGCCCTTGCTTGGTACTTTTATCTTGTCGCTCTTGCCCGTGTACAAACTTTCTTGTGGATTGGTGCTTGAGCTGCCGTATATGAGGCGTCTTTCATCAACTTTGCCATGTGACTCCTTTGCCTTTTCACTACGTCGCGTCTTGATTATTACTTATAATATTGGCTGTCACTCTTAATCTTGAACTAGTTAGACAGGATTAGGCAAGGAGTACTTTGGTTCGAGGGTTGTGGAGGTCTGCATTCTTTAGTTGTCATTTTTGTCATTACTTCAACATTCTATGTGACATGTGATAGGTGCGCCTCTTACCCATGTTGATCGTGGTTGTTGGTCATTGATTTATCTTACGGTTAGGACACGAGACTTTTCGGTATATGTAGGAGGGCATGGGTATCATCTCACTTTTATCACCTCTTTGTTTGATTTTCATTTCATAACCTTCGACATTCATCCATGCTAGAGGTATAAAAATAGTCACTTAAAATTATGTTGATAAAAAAGCAGATGATATTTGTTACTTAATCCCAGATATGGTTTTGGTTCCAATTAATGTAGAATTAAATATAACAAATTTAGAACTTGCATATGAAAGATAAAAACATCCTAAAACTTCAACAAGGATGATAAAAAAGATAACTAATAGAGTCTGGCATAAGGAAAAGGTAAATATTTGGGATTCAAATGGATAGACTTTTTATGCAAAAGAGCTCTAAAATAGACCAAACGTAGTCTCATAAACAACAAGATTTAGACAAAAAAATCTAGAAAATTTTCAGACAAAAAGTCCTTAAAATCTTTTGAGATTGTCCAATATACAAATCGTCTAAAAAGCTTTCAACATGTTGGGAAAATGCAGATAATATTTGTTAGCTAATCTCAGGTTTCAGTTTGTTGAAACCTACAACTTAGAAGCAATAAGAACGATAAATAAAGATTATAGAGAAGAAAATTAAAAGTCGAATTTATATTGGTTCTCCCAATGCGAGCTACGTCTAGTTCTTTGCTACCGTTACATGTTCTAATAAATTGACAGGGAGAATCTCCAAAGAGTTTACAAGTCCTTACAATGGTTTCTCTCACTATTTTCTCATCGGAAAAACTCTCACAAATCACTCTACAAATCTTTTAAACTCTCCGAGGGATATACGAGTATTAGCTTTCAAACTCTCTTTTCTGGAAGAATTTCTCACGACTCTCTATTTATGGTCATTTATTATATCTCTATTTATAATTGATGGAAAAACCAAATACAAAAAGTATAAGGTTTTCAATATTCAAAAGGGACATGGAACCAAAACTAAATAAGAAAAATAAAATTTGAAAAGCCTATTCTAAAAACGAATAAGGAATAAAAAATTTCCTTATTGGTTTCACTCAATTTTCTCAACAATCTCTCACTTGGAGACAAAGCAAGCAAAATGTTTCCTCTCTACTTGTGGAGAAGTCCAATTGAAATTGCGCACAACTTCAGTTTATCAACAAGAATGGTATAGTAAACATATCAGTTGGATTCTCTCAACTTGAAATATTTTTAAGCACTAGCACCCCATCTTCCAAAACTGATATGATAAAATGGTATCTCACATATATGTGTTTCATTATCGAATGAAACATTGGATTCTTTGCTAAATGAACAGCGCTCTGACGGTCACAATGCAAAGTTTCTTTTCCCAATCGCAAACCAAGTTCTTCATAAAAAGATTGAATTCATATGACCTCTTTGCTTGCTTTAGTAACTGCAATGTACTAAGCTTCTGTAATAGAAAGTACTATTATCATCTGCAGTCTGAAGACCGAATTAATCAAAGTATTGTCCAAAGTAAAAACATACCAGGTAGTACTCTTTCTACCATCTGTATCTTCTGCTATATCTTCATGTACATATCTCTGAAGTTTAAAATCAAATTTCTTAAAGTGCAAAGCATAACTAGTCATATTTCTCGAGTATCCAAACCATGGCATGCATCAGGCTGTCTATAGTTAAAGCATATGACACTCTGCCATATGATCTCTTTCCTGCTCGGTAGTGGGTGAATGCTCTTATGATAATTAAAAAATGATTAGCTAAAGGAGTACTCACAAGTTTTTCATTTCCCATGTTAAATCTGTTTAACACCTTATTCACATACTCTTTATGTTAAAATGTCAAAATACCATTCTTTTCTCTCAATCCTCATCTTTAGGATTTGTTTGACAGCTTCGAAATCTTTCATGTCAAATTCTTGAGATAACTTAGTCTCTATCTTCATAAGTTCCTCTTTTTGTTTGGTCCTACTATCAACATGTCATTAACATATAGCAATATAATGATAAATAAGTTACCATGATTCTTATGTAGCAGCACTAATTTGCCTCACACTTCTAAAATCCACTGTTGCACATATAACTATCAAATTTCTTGTACACTTTCTAGGTGCCTGTTTGAGACCATACAAGTTTCTCTCAAGTTTGCATAACAGTATCTCCTACCACTATATTGTAAATCCTTGTGGTTGCACCATATGAATTTCTTCCTCCAAATCACCATGAAGAAAAGTAGTTTTTACATCCATTTGTTTCAGAAATAGATATTCTTATGCTACAATCGATAGAATAGTCCTAATGGTAGTTAGTTTGATTACGGGAGAGAAAATATCATTAAAGTTAATACCTTTCTTTTGTTGGAAGCCTTTGACCACAAGCCTTGCCTTGTACCTTTTGCTACCATTGGACTTCTATTTGATTCTAGATACCCATTTATTCTGCAGAACTTTCTTACCTCTTTGTAACTCAGCAAGTTGCCATATGTGATTAATCATTAGAAAATCCATTTTGTCTTAAATGGCTAACTCCCATTTAACATAGTCTTCCAACTGAGCTGCCTCTTCATAACATTCGCGTTCGTCTCTGCCAGTCAGTAAAATATAGTTCAAAGTAGTTGAATACCTCTACGGTGATCTGATCGTTTTGCTAGATCTCCTAATTGTTGGGTTTTATGTCTTACACTCGTGGTTTGTAAATGTAAAACAAATATTTATTCAATAAAACTGTTACTGAAGTTTCTTTTAGAATTGTATTAACCCAAATCCAATAACTAACATCTGAGGTTATGTAATGTAACTAGAACAGTATATAACTGATATACAATATATAATTGATATACATGGTATACTTTTGATATACAATATATAATTGATATATAGTATATTTGATATACATGTGGATAATGTTCTAGTAATAACCTAAATGGTCTATAGTATAAGGTTGGGTATCTTATCTTGGTAACATTATGGATACGACCAACCTTTTAATAGTTACAAACGACTTAATCCAAATCGTTCATGTAGASACATGTGAGTGGGGTATCTGTTAGGACTTTTTCTACCTTAAAAAAAATTAGAGACTCGTGCAAGCGCACACGGTCACAAGTAATACTCGGAAGTAATCCAAGGTTGAATCCTCAAAGACTTGTTGCTTTTCAAAATCAAGTAATGTCGTGAAATGGTTCAAATATGAAATTGTGGTTTAGGAAGAAAAATGTGATGAAATGTTGTCGTTTGAGATTTTAACTAACAATAAATTTAATAAAACTCAACCTCTTTGCCTCCTACCTTGTCTTGATGTAAAACATGGAAACACACTATGTTGGGGAAATTGTACCAGGCGCAATTCCTGACTTTTCTTGGGATTCGAGTTATACTCTTTCACTACCACTTTTGGTTGCTGTAGAGACTAGGGTAAGCTGCAATCATATGTCTACGTGTGATTACAATCCTAGAGAATATCTACCAACTCACTTGCATTATGGGTTAGAGGGCCTATGTTTAAGACCATGTTTTATGCGCTTATGCCTAAGTCACATCCCATATTGGTTTCCTATTATTTACCTAACTCACCTTTCCCAAGGTTCGGCTTTGTTATATAAATCAAGTTCCCACTGGCCGAATGGAAAAAAGATGTAAAGAGAAGTTTTTAGAAACTAACCGAAAAAAGTGTCAGGCGCAATATGGCCAAAATCCCAAGTGTGTTGAAAATCAAATCATTTTGACTAAGACATTCCATAAACAAGTTGATAACTAATTTAAAAAATAATTAAAGGAAAGTAAATGCATGAAAACATAAAGAAAGTATTTTTCATTGAATTTAAATGAATAAATAAGGCGTACAATGAGTTCTAGCTTGACCCTATTCTCTCTCGAGCGTGAGGGGAGTTGAAACTTGCTAAAAAACTTTAAAAGAACAGAATAAAC